GTCACGTGGGGCTCAGGAGGAAGAGCAGTTGCTTACTAATCGAAAAGCTGGAGGTTCAACTTCCGGCCTTTTCGAGCCGCTTTTTGAGGCATTCTTGGGCAAGACACTGAACTCAGTGATGCCTACCGACAAATTCAGCTCTTTTATGAGTGGATGCGTACAGAAAGCAGTCTGTAAGGACGAATATGTGCTGAGTGAGTGAATGAGGGACTGTTACATGCAGCCGGAAAGCACTCTGAGCTTTTAGCTACAACAAAAAAGTGCATTTACTTTCCATTTTCCACATGTACACACCGGGCCTTTCCACCATGGACCAACTCTAAAAGAATTAATGGATGATGTTCATGATGCTCAAGTTCTATCTGTGGTTTGTAGATTTGATATATGATATAATTCATTTGAAAAACATCCCAACAGCCTCTAGCATCCTGATTTCAGATGGCATATAAAAAGGGAAATGGAAAATATTTGATTATTGCTTCTTATCTATTTCAAACAACTTAAATGGATGTGTTAATTAGCTTCCCTTCACTTATTTCAATATTAAATTACACAAATATAGTATCTGCTGGTTGGAAAAACAAAGACTGCAGAGAGGAGGGACATCTTTTTCCCCCCTCGGTGGCGTGAAAGATAGGAGCAAAGGTTGTTAATAAAGGAGGCATCAGAGGGAGATAACTGCTGAGACCCGCCCTTGAAAAGCACGCTGAGAGGAAAAGGAAGTGATAACGCAGAGCCTGGCTGAACCGGATCATTTGTGGGATAACCATCAAACCCATCCAAAATAGAAGTAATCACTTTTTTTCTGAACGTTTAGAAACTAAATAAATAAACGAACACGCACGGCTAAATGTGATTAGGAAACGTGGCGTACCGTGAACTGATCTGCTTTCAACACAAGAGTGAATCATGTTTTAATTCTAATTTTATTACAGCTCTCGGCTCACGGAGAAGCCAAAAAGGCTGAAAAGGCTGAGGGGGGGAAACATTGCACTGTGTCTTTGCAGTTTGGAACAGGAAGAGTCGGTTTCCTCTCTCTGGCTGAGTTCCTAACTTAGACTGAACGTCAGGAAGCTCAGACGCCATCAGAGCTCGCCCGAAAACATCCGCTGTGTAAAAATCCACAGATAATAGCAGCGGCACGGCTCTGTGAGAGTCCACTGTCCAGCAGGGAGACCCCACTTTCATTTCCACAGGCATTAAGACACAGACGGACATGAAGGAGGGTTAAAAAATGCCATTTAATCTGTTCATATATGTATTTGTGCTGTTGTGATCCAGAAAAACAAGACAAAAATGTCCATTTCAAATCACATATATAGAAAAAATGTTATCTTGGATCTATTTTGGCTTCAAAAATAAGAAGATGAAATCATACAAATGCTCAGCTTTATTTAATATATCATAATCTCAAGGCTATTGCTCATTTTGAAATGGAAAAACTTGTGTTTCTGTGAGATAACATGTTAGTATTGTTAATCGATTCATTTTCTGGACCCTGGACGAAGTGCAACAGAATCAGTTGGACATTTTCTAATTGGTTACTCGTGCATGCCTCGACGTGCTTATAGATCCTCTTAAAATGTCTCAGTGATAATGAGTAATGAAATTAGTTCTTAACAGTGGCATTATTCATTTTCCAACCCATCATAATCGACCTGAGATTCCCAGAAACCAAACAGAGAATTTAATGAAATGGCTACAAAGCAAAAAATGCCTCTGCTAACTGAAGATAACAGAGTAATCAACATGTGATGTGAAGATAACGACATCAAAATACTTAATTACAAGCTGGCTGCTATAAGCTTCCATATCTGGGTTAAAAAAAAAAACAGAAAAGAATTCCTCTTCTCTGAGTGGGATGCCACTGTGTCCATATCTTCTCGCTCTGCAAAAGGTGCAAAGTTTTTTTTAGTTTTCACGTCAGGCTCAGCTTTGGTAACAGCTTTAAACTCACCAAAACACCAGAGGAAAATAGCAGCGGCTCTTTCACACCACGGCACAGGAGCGCGGCTCCCTGAAGGGGTTGCTGCCCGTGGGGACTCCCACCAGCAGCGCGTCTTTGCTCGCGTTCTGGAGACAAAACTGCTGGAGCTCTGCAGCCGCCTGAGACACCTGGAACCGTGGTGAGCGTTCAAATGAAGGTTCATAGGACTGGAATTGCAGTCTGTACCACTTCAGTGGTGCCAAGTTATCTTGATTTCGATCAATTTAACTTACTTGACTTCTGACTTATGGAAAAAATGAGAAAACATGTTGCTCTTAAGAAAGGTTGCAGGAAACTCAATAAATTTGCTCACTCACTTGAATTAAAGTATTGTGAATATATATATATTTCTGGACTACATATATAAATACAGTGGGGGAAATAAGTATTTGACCCCTTGCTGATTTTGCAGGTTTGCCCACTTACAAAGAATGCATTGATCTATAACTTTAATCATATGTACATTCTAACAGTGAAAGACAGAATCCCAAAGAAAATTCCATAAAATCACATCATATGAATTTATAAAAATTGATAACCATCTGATGAGGAAAAATAAGCATTCTTTGTAAGTGGGCAAACCTGCAAAATCAGCAAGGGGTCAAATACTTATTTCCCCCACTGTATATACACATATATATTACATCAAATGAAACGTTGAAAGTATCTAAAAAGGAAAAGCTACAAACAAAACTTTTGGAGAACCTGGGATTATTTCTTGCATTTTAGACCAGATTAACTATGTTGAAACATCCATTGTGATATCTGCTAATCCATAATAGGAAAATATCCAACTGCACACAAGTGGAATTTAGTTATTCACTCTTCGTAAGCGTACTAGGATCAAACGAGTGACAAACTAGCTAGAAACTCTAACATGCTTTAAAGATGAAAGTTTGGAAGAGTTCTCTTTTACCTTGATTCTTTCCACACTGGCCTCCAGCTTCAGCTGCTCCACCAGGCGCCGCATGTTGGCTAAACTGGAATTAGAAGTCATGTCAGCAGGAATTCTCTCAGTGGGGAAAAATCACCTCAGTCTCGAGACACGGGCAGTTGGCTCCACGAACGGCCGGCAAAGACGAGAAAAAGAGAAGAATGGCCGGGTTTATTTCCAAGTGACCTCAGTGCACTTCGCTGAAACAACGGGGAGAGATAGAGGCACACTGACCTCCACATGCACTCAGCCGACATTACACACAAACCACACTCATTTAGGCTGGAGTTTAAAATGACATGTGTGTTATCTACCTAATCAAGAAACACTCCCGGAAAAGAGAAAACTAATTGTACCGAAGACTTGTAACTGGGGGGCAGATTTGTTTTTTGTCTATTTAATACTTGAAACCCATGTGGACCTTTCCCGGCCCCTAAGTAATAACTTGAGGTCCAATTATTGACACAACGGAGTTGAGAGGGTTCCTCTGGAGACATGAATGCCCCTATTTTTGACTGTGAACAATGCGTGCTCGTATAAGCCCTCACAATTTCTATATTGTGATTTATTTTTGTGAGGGATGAGTAAATAGACAAGCAGAGCTTCTTTACTATCATTAAGCAACATTACAGTTGTATTTATTGCTTGATTTGGTAATATCATTTCATATGTAAAGGTTATCTTTTTGAAAACAGAATGTATTTACACGCTGAATCTAATCCAAGGCATCTCCTCTCTTATGAGCTCAGCGTTTTTGTAAATATTATCAAATGCAAACAGATCTAATTAAATCTAAATGGCCACACCATGACAAAATATGGCGCTGTCATAAATTGCTTTCAATTGTAAATTTTCCTTCCTTTCTTTGTGGTGTCCGTGCCTATCTTGTTCTATTTTATTCCTTTACATTCTATCTTTTCTATAAAAATATTTTTAAATGATTGTTGTTTGTGTGTATAATAATTAATTTGAATGCATTTGTTTTAATTTGTTATTTTCTGTTACTTTTATCACTTTCTGGGTATCTTAAGGAAGTTCGAGTTTATTTCTTATTAAGTCTATTCAATTTTCAGTGCGTTTACTTAAATATACAAATTAAAGAAGTCACTGCGCATGCGTTGAACGGACTGCCGAAAACTGTTGTCGTGCAGCTGTTGTCGCTAATGCGGAAGTAGCTGCTGCTTCGTACAGAGCGCACGTGGGTAAAAGAGGCCAACACAACACGGTCTCGCGGCTTCTCATTGGTCCGCCGGCGATTATCGGGATTGGCTGTAAGTAGCTTTTCAGCGAAGGTAAACAGTCCGGGGGACACTTCTCTCCCTTTCGCCCGGAGGCGTTCAAACCCGGTTGGAGATGAGCTAAACCTAGCCTGTCAGACCGGAGAGGAGCCCAGCAGACATGGTGGAGGTGTTTTCCGGCCGGACTCTCCTCAACAAAGACGGGGACTTCGTCGACCCCGAGGAGGCGCTGAGGAACAAAGTGGTGGGGATCTACTTCTCCGCGGGCTGGTGCCCGCCGTGTCGCGACTTCACGCCCATCCTGTGCGACTTCTACACGGAGCTGGTGGAGGAAAGCGACCCCCCCGCGCAGCTCGAGATAGTGTTTGTGTCCTCCGACAAATCGGCCGACGACATGGTGGACTACTACCACGACATGCACGGGGACTGGCTCGCTCTGCCCTGGACGGACGAGTATAAAAAGTGAGTTTCTGGAACATTCCGGAGTTTGAACAGACTCCAGTAAATGCAGCTTAACCTGGTGCGTTCACGGCCCGTGGAGCTTACAAGCTACTTATGTAAAATGCCGGTGGGGTCACCCTGTCAGGGATTAGGTTCAGAAGGAGCCGGGCTCAGAGCTCAATATTGTCTTATGGGTTTGAAACTGAATTCCTAAAGCTGCATAGTCTGTTCCTGTGCAGTGTTTTTTTTATTTAAATGCAAATTAAAACTCTTTAATCGGTTCTCTATGTACGTTAACACTTGAAGATGCTTCCATAGGCTTCAACTTCCTGTTATTTTCATTTAAAGAATTATAGTTTTCCTAAAATATGAACTAAACTAATTCAAAATATAAAAATAGCTTGGGAAATGTTTTTTAAAAAGCCCTTTTTATCAGTGCATTGCCTTTTATCAGCAATGTAAAACAAGACAATGCTTGAACAATGACCTAAATCAGAATCAGAAATACTTTAATAACCCCAGAGGGAAATTATTTTTGATAAATTGATCATTGAAACAGTTGTAATTTATCAGGCATGTAGTGTTTTGATTGTATAGATTGTCATTGGGAAGGTACTTTCCCCTCACTGTGCTTTTTACTATGAGTTTGTGTATTTAAAATGAATACTTAAATAGTATAGTATACTTAAAAAGAACTTAACAATAGAGAGATACATGATAAGAAAATCAAAGAAAGCAAGATTAAATGAATTTTAGCTATTCAACATGTCTCCATATGAGCAGAGAAATATTTTAGAGTTTTATGTGATGGTATTTAGTGAAATTCATGGAATAAGTACAAATCTAAAATATTGGAAAAGCCTTTCACTGTGAAGCCTGTTTCTGCTTGTTTTTTTCTGTCCAGTGAGCTGAAGCAGCGCTACCAAATCACCGCCGTCCCCAAACTGGTGATCGTGAAGGAGAACGGGGACGTGATCACCGATAAGGGCCGGAAGCAGATCCGGGACCGGGGCCTGGCCTGTTTCAGGACCTGGCTGGAGGCCGCCGAAATCTTTCAGAACTTCAAGGGTTAAAAAGGAGCTCCGAAGCTTTTTACGAAGCCCCTTAAATATTAACACACTTCTGCTTAAGGCTGACGGATCGCAGAAGGTTCAGTCTTTTATCTTTTAATCCCATAAAGTTTATTATTTATACTTAGTCCTTTTTGAAAGAGGGGATGTCTGACCCCCTTTAGCAGTCGCTTGCAAAGAGACTTAAAGCGCTTTAGTGACATGGTCTAAACAGCCTATGCATTTAAGAACGATCTCAGGCATTGATCCCTGTCACACACACACGCACACACACACACACTAGAGATTTGACTGCTTGCTTTTGTATGTCACGACACTTGTAGTTATATTTGGAGCTGCGTGTATATTTTTCTATTTTTGTTTTTTATGACTTGATAATAAAAAGGAATACATATTTTCCCCGACTCATAGTGGATTTATCCTGTTTTTTTTTCAGTTGTTTTGTTTCAAGGAGCCCATGTTAATGACAAACAGATTCCCTTTTGGTCTCATTAAATAACACAACCACCCCCCACCCCCCCCCTCTCTCAGGATTTGTTTCCATCCTGCCAGCCTAATCATGTCCGTGGCCCTGAGTGTCTGTTTTCCTTCTGCTTGCTGACACCGCTCGTCACCGGTTTGAACAATTAACTCGGCTCAGGCTGCTCCCCCGCAGCCCTTTCTGCTTTTGAAGCCTTCAAAGAGTCCACGGCTGTTAATTCTTTGACGCTTCCTCCAGGAATACGCCCGTTCGGGCCGCCCTCCATCGCGGGCCCGTCCGTCTCCGGGGGCCTCCTCGTGATGCAACTTCTTGAAGTGCGAGGGCTTTTAAATTGGCGTGCCGGAAAAGAGACCTGACAGGCCCGCGTGCATCTGCCGCACTTCAAAGGGAAGCCGGGTGTTAAGTGGATCCAGCTTCCATCGTTTTATTTTTTTTCTCTAAGGAAAAGGCAGCGGAAGCTGCACTTTTGCCGCCGGCCACCAGGGGGCGACGTGCTCCCACACATTCCCACTCGTTTTAACTCTGGCTCTTGATGTCTGAACGTCGTACCAGAGAAGTTCCAATAAGTAGGCCTGAGTTTGGTTCTTATTTGGCTTTCAGTGGCTTTCAGACTCTGGCCCTGGTCTGTAAATATTACATGTGGAAACACGGCTGAATATTTCTCCTTTCATGGACACGAAAGCTGTTGCATCATGAAGAAGGTCCACATTGTACATCTGCCCATCATGACTCATTTATGATGTGTGTGTTTGAATGTTGTGCTCAGTTATGGCACACACACTACACACACACACTACGGCCCCAGCTCTAGCTATATATTCTAATAATGATCACATTATATATTGGAGAAAATGAGTTTCTACGTGGTACCCTGCTGTGTTTGGCTCCGGTGGTAATTGTTTTTCATCCTTTTTTTTAAACCCCAGCATCTTCTGCCACTTTCCAGCTGCTGAGCTTTGTTATTTCTCCTCAAAGGCCCGTCCAAGGTGGGATTGCAGGGTCTTGACCGTTCCTGGTGAGGTAAAAACGGTGAGTGGTTAAAACTCCTCTGAGCTAGCTCAGTCTGCTATTTCAATGGAAGTTCACATCCATCTCTAAACCGCTCTAAATCGACTTAATTTATCTCTGTTCAGCCCAACCGAGCTAAATCCATCCCCAGAAATCTCTAATTAAACATTCTCTCATTTGACCGCGAGCCCCACATCATGACGCTCCCTCTTCCGTGCTTGGCCATTATCACATGGCAATTATGAAATAAAGCTGAGCTGTCTGAGCTGGGAATGGGCCACCATTACTGAATATTCACATCAGATCTAATTTTAAATTGAACCTTTAAACTCACTCTGCTTTTGGAATAAAAATAGTATCTGTAGTTCAATGCCTTTGATGTCATCTGAGTGGGAGCACAACCTCCACTGGGGAGTGGAAATGAGGCTCCCCACGGATAAACCTGCTTATAGATCTTACTCTTTGTGAAATTCAGTAATCGGAGTGATTATTTCCTGTTTTGTTTCTTAGTTTTGTGCAGACATTTAGCCAGACGTTGCCCATCGGTACAGAAATGAAACTCTCAGAGCCTTTAAGAATCAGTTTAGTTCAGATAACATCTTTTATCCAGAGTTAAATTACCCAAGGGCACAGAGACACTACCTGAGAGCTGGAAAGTGATGCAGTTTTTTTTTTTGTTGTTTTTTTTGACTGGGAACAGATATTAAAATCCCTGTTTCTATCTTTTCCCCCTTTAGGGGCGTGGTCACTGGTTAGACTGGGCTGGAATGGGAGTCTCCCAGCCTGCGTGAAGACTAAAGTGCATCACAAATCCTGAATGCAGAGCCTGTCTGCAGAGTACACACACACACACACACACACATACACACGCACACACACGCACACACACGCCCATTTCCACCAAGTTGTCCCTGACCACGGGACCCCTTTGGCTGCTACCTGCAGCCCGAGAGGACCCCGCTCCTCCGGGTCCCCCTGGACACTCGGACCTGCCTCTGTCCGGTGGAAGTGAAAGGCGGCAGTGTTTCCCGCTAACGTCCGCAGTCAGCCACCAACAAGGCCGTCTTTATGCGGGAGGAGAGGGGGGGGGGGGGGGGGGGGGGGGGGAGGGGGCTGGGAGGACCGGCGGACCCGCACCCGGGAGTCCCGGAGTCAAGTTCAACACGGTGATGACGACGACTTCCGCCCCGGACTTTCAGAATAAGGCACCAAAGAGTCCCTGGATCCGTTGATGCCCGTCCCTGCTGCCATTGGATGGCAGGTCACACACACATACCAACCGCACACACTCACATTTATTCAGATGAACCATTCTGAGTCACTGTCCAATTGTGTCCCTTAAATTGTATTAATGGGACGTTTTTTTCTACACAAAATGACCAATTCTTAGTGTTTCAGCTTTTTATCTGTGATGAACTCCTCTTACTCACCTCCCTCATTTCTTTATCAGATTGCAGCTTCATGAGAAACAAACTTGATAATTGAACTCCTTTTTTTATTGTGATGAAATTGAAGTAGAAGTTTAAATACATTGTGCGCTTTAAATGTATTTTTGTCCCCTTCTTATCTGATTTTACACAAGAAAAACGTAAGAAAACTAGTTTGTTGTGGGTCGTTTTTGAGTTATGTTAATTTTAGTAATGGTTTTTTGCTTTTTATTAATCTGCCGTGAGGTATCAGCCAATTTGAGAGTTATTAAGTCTTTTGTACTGGTTAGTAAAAGGCTAGCTTTGGGTATACTTGCTTCTCTAAATGGTGTGCCACTAAAAAAAGAACCAGCGTAGAGTGTATTTGGATAAAGATGTGTCTGCCTCTCTACTCATAAAACCTATTCCACCCATCCTCTCCTGGACATATTAACTTTTTAAACCATGCTTCAGTTAAGATTACATTGGTTTGTCAAAGCTCTGACTTATGGATCAAACACATTAAAACTCAGATGTGGATTTAAATATGTCCTGTGTCTTTAAATCTGCAGCTTTGACCTCTTGACCCCCGGTCCACGCTCGCCAACACTTGCAGGCACTTTTACTTTGAAGGCGGCGCTCCTCTGTTTCCGGTGCATGTCCGACTTTGCCCGTTTCTCCGGGATACAAACTGAAAGCCGCTTCCAGACTTCACCGGACTGTGGACGGACCGATGGGGGGCTGCAGGACCAGTCCGGCGCGCCGGGACCAGAGAGAACCGGAACCGGCACACATGAGGGACGGGATCAAGGACTGGGGGAAGAAAAGGTAATAATTCCTGACTGAAAGCATGTTCACACCGCTTATAGAGAGAATGGAGTCAGCCGGAGAGTAGAATAATGCGAACATCTCCACTTATTATAAAGGGACGCGTCATAAGAAAAGGCAACTTTAAGTTTTATTCTATTGGTTTTGGCTCCTCATGTGGGAAAAGCTGTCAGTAATAAAAAGCAAATATTCCTGATTCCCTATGCAGAATGCACGCGTTTCCAACCCCGTATCCAAGTCAAACGACACAGTTTTTGTGCGCTTAGAGGTTTTACGAATTGGAATTCATGTTTCCCTCCTGGCTCTAAACTCGAATCACATGTAGAAAAATTAAATCAGCGCCTCCAATTATTTCCCGGGGAGTTCAGCCAGATGACGCGGTCCGGGTTAGGAGCGCGTCAGGGCTCTCCATCTCCGGCTTTACCGGTGGAAAAAAGGCTCTAATCCCGCTCACAGATCCCCATAAAGCAGAAATATTAGGTTTTGCAAGCAACCAGGCTTGTTTTCCTCCCGTTAGAACAACGGAACTGGAGATTAGACGTTATTTTGGGCTTGTTTGAGTGATTTGAGAGCAAAAACACAGCTATTAAAGGGGGGGAAATGACTGTATAAGTGTGTGAAATTGAAGATCTAATTCACTCTGACATTTAATGCCCCCAAGATCAAGTCACAACTGAAATGTTGCCAGTTGAAGTCTCCTGTACGTGTGAGTGTCCTAAATGTGCGTTTACTGCGTTTACTGCGTGTTGTGAGTCTGGGAGTGTGTGTGTGTGTGTGTGTGTGTTGTCCTGCAGACAGTGTGTGCTCTCACGTTTCACAGATCAGATCAGATCACAACAGCATGATGGAAACTTAACCGGTGACATTTCAGTCCCTCTCTGAGCAGGGAACCGGCACATGGAGGCCGATTAAACGAGACTAGACTTCACATGATGGCAGTTTATGACAACCTATTGAATAAGAGGAGATCTTATCAGCCCTAAGACAGTTTTACGACAGTTTTTCTTACACAATCCGTGTCATCTGTCAGCATCAGAGTGCAGGAAACAGTTCCCCAAACCTGTGGCCACGTCTCAAAATTTCTGCACGCGGGAGGGTTTCAGCCCAGTGTTCCAAACGGGCCTCAAACGCCTCGCGGGTCAGAGGTCAAAACGCAGGGATTTGCTGGCACAAGCACTCTATTTACCCTGTGTCAACTTTTTTGTTTGCTCTATTATCGGCTATTCATAACGTTCGCCTTTTTAAAAACACGGCAAATAACACGACCCGGGGAGTGTCTCGCTGTGTAGGCCGAGATTTATCCTGCCCGGCCAGAATTATGCCCAGTTGTTGAGCCGTTTCCTATCAGAACTGGGTTGTGGTTCCAATTGGGCCTTCACGACCAAGTTAGAGCTCGTGAATCTCCCCGTCCAGCCATATTTATATATATATATATATTTATATGCGGCATTGATTGATGAGATAATTCAATTGTTGCTGTTTTTATTACCCTGCAGGCATTGAAATCACTGTCTGTGTTCATATTTTCAAACTGGGCTCGATTTAGGATCAGACTAG